CTTTCCTTGAGTGCAACTCACTTTTATAAGTTAGAGAGAGAGAGAGAGAGAGAGAGAGGGTATTAGGTAGAGGACAGGGATATATGTAAACGCATGTCGTTGTTTAGCTAGCTAGGATATGTACATTCCTTTAAAATGGATACTTGTACTACTAACCTTGATGTTATATAACACCTTTACATTTTCTAATCAAAACCCTGGCCGCATTCATTTCATCAATGTTTGGATCAAACTAACAAACTTCACTTTTTTGGGTTAACTGTCTAATAAACTATACGATTAACTAACTTCACTTTATTTGTGGGTTGTCCAACTATCTCTCACTGCATGTGTACATATATAGCAAGCACCAGGAGTATCGATTAACCGGCCGTCTTCAAAAAAAAAGAAAGAAGAAGAAGAAGAAAGGGGATATTCGACGTTGATGTATCTATCTAAATTCTAAAGACCCGTGTGAGTTATTGCTACCAGTTGATATATGGAGCTGAAGAAAACTTTAGCTATACCCCCCTCCTTTTATTGTGTAAGTAAAGGAAATCAAATATCAATTATAGCACAATGAACAAATGCACTGAGACTCACCCATTTCTTTCGGCTAAAGTGTTGATTGACGCAATAAGTTCACAAGAGTCCAAGAAGATGATTCTGACCTTTTTTTCATGTTCAAATTTTACTTACTAATGAATGGACCCAAAAAGTAAAAAAGTAAACAATTAACTAATAACGGGGAGAGGGGGAGAGAGAGAGAGAGAGAGAGAGAGAGCTCAGGTAGCTGTTGATAATCCTCCTCGTGTCATAATATGAAATCTTTTTAGTAGAGAAATATTACCATTAGGAATCTTCAGCGCTACTCAAGGTTTCATTACAGGCTACAGCAGCATCTAAATTTTCAAGTTAGGTTAGGTGTTTGAAATATTGATTTCTTTGCCACGCTGTATTTCCACAAAGCTTGTAAATTTAACTATTATATAATATAGTCTGCGTATAGACTAAGGAATATCACAATCCTCCTTGCTTGTTATCTCTGATTTTGATGTTCCAGTCAAAACATCATGATGCTAATGCTAATGCTAATGCTAATGCTAATGCTAAATTGGAAGGTTCTTGCAATTACTCAATACTGCTCATTCCATTATCATTATATCAAATTCGAACAAATTGACAACATCCATTCACTACAAACAAAACAAATTAATTTTGTCCATCAATTGATGATTCTGACTATAAGGATGATAATTCAACTTCCTGATTGTCAGGACGGTATACCACAAAGGTGCCATCGCTTGAGAAGGAACCAGGATTAAAACAAGTGATTCCTGTGTATTTGTAAGCCTTTTGCTCGCTTCTGTCACCTAAAACTATCTGCACATGAACATCAAAGGTCTGTCAAGACTTATTAATGACTTAATGATTTATGACGGTCCAAGTGTCTTCTGAAGTTTCAGTTTTAGTAAATAGGAATCGCTTTGCAAAACACCACTCCTTATTATGTAGGAACTCCAAGGGAGAAGGGGGTTGAAATGGACAAGAAAGGGATATCAGTATTACCGTATGTGGAGTTGGATAGAGGTACAGGGAGTGATCATAATTCCAGATAATCGGTTGTACAATAAGAGAAAGAGGGCAGAGATGACATTGATGGGTTATGGTAGCAACCAACTGTGACAAAAAAAATGAGAACCTGTTACTTTTCTTAGTAATTATGCACATCAGTTAACAAGATATTAAGAATATATGTACATGTATATATATATTATATATATATATAGAGAGAGAGAGAGAGAGAGAGAGAGATCACATGCTCAAAGTCATCAGTAGTTTCTTCTGTAGAAGGGGGCATCAGACATGAACGGCGCATTCTGTACAGCAGATCCTGACGGAAAAATACCAGCTCCTGGCTACAGAACTTCATTCTGCATTCAAGTATGGCAAGTCATTGATTAGCAAGCCAACTGAAACTACAAGCACATAAGACACTTTGTACTCATGAATCCCAATGTGCCAGGTGAGAAGTAAGCTCTTTTGTCTTAGAATTCATAAAATGTGAATCTAAATACCAAAGAGTGTGCATTTATCTGCAATAGAATACTTATCTCATCATTTATACGTCAACTCATCAGTGATCAGAAAACACACCTACAAGGATTACTTGAAAATATGTCATGGAATGTGATTTTGAAGCTCTTTTCTTAAATATTTTGGTAAAGAAGGCCTCGGTAGAACAGTTGAAGGGCCCGAAATTGTCAAAAGGCAGAGAGTACTAAAGCAAGTGTGATATACCCGGACTATAGGCCCATTTTTGAAGAAACATATTCTTTCTTTGGAGAAGCATGTTAAAGCAAGTGTAATATACCTGCATCATCGGGGCCTGGGATAAATAGAAAACAACTACCCTCTTTTAGCCGTGGATGGGCAGCAATCATTTGCCCTAGCTTGCCAAACTGCGACCTGTGCATCTAGTTTGTTCACTATTACTGTTACTTATGTAAGAAAGAAAAGACTGTTTTCAGCCAACAAAATAAATCTTATCAAAATATTCCTCACCTGAGATTGAAGAAGGAGCGGAAACCAAGATTACATGGATGAGAACAAAAATTCCCTATGAGTACAAGTAACCAGCTTTTCCATAGCCTTCTCAAATAAGAAAAAACTATCAATTAATGTCAAGTACAGTACTCTGAGAAACAAAAGAAGTTATAACAATCTTTTACAAGAGAAAGAATAACCTCTTCATTGTCTAGCCAAATGTCAGACAGTATGACAATATTCCCATTAATTGCTTCTCTTTCCAACTTTGCAAGTCTGAGCTGTTTGAAGTGTATAGGAAACTATACATTCATAATTGGCTAGTCTATAAAGTTGAACAATTAGACAATTTTGAATATCACCAAAAAGAAAGTTTAGGATACCGTCTCCTGTTCTGTTAGTGTACCACTACCAAAAGAGTCATGTCCTGCAAGAAATTGGAGTGACTTATCTCTGCCCTCAAGCAGAGGAAATCCGCAATTAAACACCTTCACAAAAAGTAAGTGTTAGCATCTCTTTAAAGGTTAACTTCATGAGTTAAATGTTTACATCTCATACATACACATTCATCCAAAGTTAGGAACCTGATGCTTGATACAATCTCATGGCAAGTAACTTCACTTGATTTACTTTTTATATATACTGATCTACTCTGGATTAGCTAAAGGGATTAACATATTATGAATTTATGATATATTGATCCAACCTCATATTAGGAGAAGAAAAAGTAGTTCTTAAAAAAAAATTGGAAAATTTTCTTCCGTGAGAATTTTAAGATATAAAATATTGGCATTTCTAAACAAAATTCTAGTAAAAGGATGTACAATTTCTTTTTAAGAGTAAAGAGAATAAAAGAACATTAGCTAACCTGAAAGCCACCCTCTAAGAGCATCTCGCCTTCTGCAACAACTATAGTGTTCTCTACAAAAAAATCCTGCAGTTATCTTGTATATATTGTCAATAAAAATGATGATTTCATGCTTTTGATTTGACTGAACCACAACTCCAGCTTTTATGAGTTCAGGCATAGCCATAACCTACCACACCCATGAGCCATTATCATAAAGACAAGGAATGCAATTCATCAAATGATAAGACACCAGTTAGTCGCTCTGTATTAGATGCAAACAGAACAGCGCAAAGGTCAAGCGTCAAGTGTGAAGTTATAAATGATGAGGGTGTGTAAAGGATATTGCATTGGATAAGTTGATTTCAACAGAAGCAGAAAGGTCTTCCAATTAAATGGCCATCCTCCAACTGAGATATCAGACCCATCACCCATCTCCTTCCAGTTTGCCCAATCAGAGACACATCTGACCACCATATCATACAGGAATTTATTTAATTGAACTTTGGCATTTAGGAAATAAACCCAACTAGATTTCGTCGAATAAAGACAATGTGAGTACGAACCTCACAGCGCCCGAAATCTGACAATTCAGAATCAAAGGCTGGTTTGGAAAAATCCTTATGGCGAGAGAGCATCTGGGAGAGCAAGAGAAACCTATCCTTATACAGAGCTGCTTTCGAAAATGCGTCACCATGAATGGATAGGCTCCCAGTATGCCTAAAAATTTCCTCCAAAAAAAAAAAAGCATTTTCAATAAATTTATACTACTCACTATAAAGAATAAAGAATTGGTTAGCAAAAATTGAAACATACTTGTAAAAAACCTTCTTGATGGGATCATATCGGAACTTTGGGACCTTGAAGGCATCAATTATGAGCAAATCAGAGGCTCTTATAACATCATCACCATCGCCATCGGGGGCTTCGTTGATGTTCGCATCAGCACCCAATATACGGATAGCAATTCGGTGCACCGTCTCCTTGTTTTTTACTGCCATCCCAAGAAAAAGAAGAAAAAGAAACAAGCTTTACTTTAAGGAAAAAAGAAGAACAAGATGAAAATGATTGACTTGTGAACAAATAATAAGACACGAAAGAAATGGGGGGAATTACTGGGCTGGGTTGCGAGGAGGTCGAGGAGGATATCGACGGGATCGTCCAAAGCAGAGTCATTGTTGAATTCGGATTCAAAGGAGAGGATCTCGTCGACGGCGTCCAATTCAAGCGTGTAGCCTCCGATCTTGCACTTCTTCTGCACCTTCTTCCTCGTGGAGCTGCTCATCTCTCTGTCTGTGTTCCGTTTGCTAAAACCTAGGCTTTTGGCCTTTGGGATTTTGTTAATTTTGGCGGGAAAATGTTCCTACTCCCCTCTTTTTTCACATGAGCCGCCGGGTCCGGGCTCTGCAGTGGAGTTACCTTTTTTAGATATTGTAGTAGTACAGTTTTCTTTTAAGTCTTAATATTTTTTACAATTAGAATTTAAAATGTACAATTTTTTGCTTTTGTTGTCTTTTACTATATCTTTTGTTAAAATCTGGGTAACATGTACAACAAACTTGTGAGATTTGTCAATGGAATCGTTTGAAGATTTTCTTTATGGGAAAACGATTACAATATCGCTTCAAGTTTCAATTTTTTTTTCTTTACAGTAAAATGAGATAATCAATGCAAAACAGCTCCCTCAACATTTAGCAAGCCCAAGGGCTAAAAGAGCTACAACGCAAAATACACACTGCTACGGTGCTGTACTGAGTACTATTCAAATCCTCCACAAACATTTCTCAATCAGTTCCACAGTTCAAACAAAGACAGGAAAGAAAGAAAAAAAAAAGTTCCCCCATCGCTCAAAAATATCACAATCCAACTCCTCTACTTAACTAGAACACGATGTGCACCAATTCTACTCTGCCGTATGTATGTAATCACCTCAATGATCCATCTGCCGTATGGTCCATGGATTCAATTCAACACCTCCGCATCACCCTCAAGTTCAACTAGCAGCTCTCCAAACCCTGCTTCCGCACTCCTTTGCAAGAACAGTCTCAAATCCGACAGCTCTGCAGTCAACATAACATTTAGGATTTGCGGTCATAAAGTCAGTAGCAAATTCTTCATGTTAGTTTCCAACTGCATTCACTCCAGTCTGAGGCATAGTTGACCACCTGGTATAGCATCAAAATTTTATCTTGATGATCCCTTCTCAATTTGCTAATGTCATCAAGCTTCTTCTTCCTTTTCCCTTTTTGATTCCATAGGGGCACTTTGAAAGAAATCATCATAACAGTATGAACAAACTTTATTAGCTCCCTCTCAAACTCATGCTCCTCCGCTTCTGGTTCAACGCAAAACGTCTCGCCATAGAAGGATTGTAGAACTGTCTCATATGACCTGAAAGCCTGTGGATGGATTGGAGATCACCAATCACTGAAAGCTGCATCAGAAACGAGTCAAACTTGCTATATGGCAATTTCATTCCCTTGTTTACGACGTCTTCCAATAGGCAGCACGCATCTTCCACTTTATTGCAACCAAAAAGCCCTTCAATCATCATGCAGTAAGTATCGGTATCCTGTGCACAGCCCCTCTTATCCATCTCATGCCAAGTCTCAAATGCCCCATCAGGATCACCCATCTCAAAATACATTGAAATCAGCATATTATAAGTCTGCACACTAGGCATACAACCTACGTCTATCATTTTTCCATAAAGCCTAAGTGCTTCCTCACTATTTTTATTGTCACAAAGAACCTTGAGAAAACAGTTAAAAGTAACGATGTCAGGAGGGTAACCTTTGTTTCCCATCTCTTGCAAAAACTTGTAAGCCTCCTCAACCTTTCCAGCCAAACACATTCCTTCAAGTAATTCCTTGTATGTAGAAACATCAGGAAGGCAACCACTGTTTATCATATGTCCGAGAAGTTTGAAGCACTCCTCCATTCTATCATTCTGCACAAGAGCCACAATCATAATTGCATAAGTTTTTGCAGTGGGAGAAGAAATTGTAGAACCTCGGGTTCGCATGAATTCAAAAAGTTCAGCTGCCTCAGACACCATCCCTGCTTTGCAAAAGGCATCAATGGCGGTAGTGTACGTGAAATTATCAGGTGCATGACCCATTTGGATCATCTCTTCTAGTAGCTTCATTCCTCGAGTCGGATTCCTAACTCTACACCAACCAAAAAACAAAATGTTGTACGTATTTGCATCAGGCTTAACCTTTTTCTTCACCCTCTGTAACATGTCTTGAGCATCTTGAACCAGACTGCACTTACACAGGGCATCCAATAGCAGGTTCAACGCATTGATTTCCGGCTGCGTCTTCACCCGTATCCGCTTCTTCTTGGCGAATTTCTGCAGATAGGTGAGATGCTTTTCCGTGTATTGCTTCAAAATTGTTAAGAGAACCTCAACAGGAACCTTACTCTTGTTGTGCCTCTTCATATAATCCAGTAAGTCACAAACAATTCGAAACTGCTTCACCTTATACCTCGTGCACGATAATATGTCAATCATATCATTGTACGCCAGAGATTCATGAACATAATTTTCTCGGCGGCCTGCCCACATAAAGAACCTAAATGCTAGTTTCTCCTCAAAACGAAGCCTATGAAGCACCCCAACAACCAACGGAGTAGTCAATGGTAGACCAACTTGATCAAGAGCTTTCTCCATATTACAATATGCGTTAGAGTTATCCGTAATGGCCTCCCAAAACTTATCTACATCACCTTCTAATGACTCGTCCTCAATACCACTCCTCCCATCACAGTCAAAACTTTGATCCACTGTAACAATCTCCGAACAAAAATGACGCACAGAGACCCTAAACGCAGCGAGCGCATTCAGGGGCTGCGATAATTTGACCAAATTCAAACAAGGGGTGCCTAGAAATGGCACCAGGAGATAAGAAGAAGATGTAGAGATCATATAAGTTCGAACATGAGATATGGATTCAACTGGGGATCGCACACATCCAAAGATACTAGCATTAGAGCAGCAGAGAGATACGGAATGATTCTTGAAAGGGAATAAATTGATGAAAAATAGGCCTCGCGTCGAAGCAATTGAAGTTTTGAGATACTGGTTCAGCATATTGTTCAATGGTAGAAATGGTTTTCTAATCTAAAAGACCCATTTGAGAAAATGAAAGGGAGAGGATAAGGATTACCAGGCACGATGACAACTCTGCCACTTGTTAACCTTACACGCTGGATGAGACTCCGGGTACTGAGTAAGTTGGAAAATGATAAACACAAAGACCCAATACCACATTTTTGAGAGAGAGGGAGAGGAGAAGGAAAGATTTGCAGAGAAACAGAGAGTCACTCAGAGTCGAGAAAAGGGCAAACCAAAATAAAGAAGAGAGAGAGAGAGAGAGAGAGAGAGAGAGAGTGAACGCTCGAAGTGGGGCCTGGGAATTTTGGGCTGGGAGCCCAATATTAACAAGTGTATTTTTAAGCCCACAAGGACCAAGTGAAGGCATTTCATCAACAGTTCGGAGCAGGCCCGGCTTTCTTCCGTGGAAGTTGGAACAACATCCAGATCAACGATCGACAGTTCAGTTAGAGTAGGTTTAAGAAGGATTAGAGGTAGAGCACTTGAGATAAAAATCTTAAAATTTGGCCTGAACAAATGCATGGGTGCTAAAAGACTTTGGTTATAATCACTTAATTTGGAACTTATTATGTTGAGCAGAGAAACATGCACTGAAAAGATTTATCTTTACTTAAAAAGTAATTAAAATCCGCTGATCATAAGCAGAGAGAGAAACATCTCAATGATACTACATATGCATAAGAAATATATGGCTATTTAGTCCTTATTACAGACATCAAGCAGACGTAATTAATTAATATCATGAATTAAGCATGCTTGCTTAAGTCATAACAACTGGAAGCCAAGCTCAATTAGCATACGCCTCTTTTCTTGGCATCCACAATCCCCTTCCAACGCCTTGTAATCTCTTGTTCGATCTCTTCTACACTCTTCTTAACAGGCTTCACCGTCCCCTCACTGCTACAGACCACTTCATCAACAGTAGCTGTGACGTGGGCGGTTTTCGTAGAGATGCGGCTTGGGAGTGTGTCTGTTTCCTTCACAACTTTGATAATGTCCGAGATAAGCCTCTCAGCCAAGCCCCGGCTAAAATCCTCCCTAACAACCACTCGCAGAACAGCAATATGTTCTGCATTGGCTGGCATCGTATAGGCTGGAACTATCCACCCAAACTTTCTCAAACTCTCAGATATCTCGAACACGGTGTGCTTGCTGCTGTCTTTTAGAGAAAAGGCCACAAGGGGCACTCCTATGTCTTTGGAGACAATCTCAAACCGCCCTGTTTTCTCTAATCCTTCTCTCAGAAATCTTGTGTTCTCCATGCAGTTTTCCATGACATTTTTGTAACCCTTTATGCAAACAACGCGGAAAAAGAAGACAATGAAACATCATTAACCGCCTCAAATCAAACCGATAACTAGGTTTCTATACATGAAATGAAATGATAGCAAAAGTTACCTCAAAACCCAGTCGAATAAACTGATAATACTGAGCAATTATTTGGCTAGAACCTGCCATACAACATATATATGATGGAAGAAATATGATTTGAAGCCACTTAGGAATAACTAAACCATGCTTTTTTCACCATGTATACATAGAGTATATATATTGATAGATCATGGCTCCATAAGTAATGTAAAATAAAATTCAATACCTTTAGAAAAGTTAAGGGTGAAAGTGGGCTGGTCAGATCCAAGGTAATTGATGTGAAAGACAAGCTCGTCCGGCAAGTCCTCTTTGCTCCTCCATACAACCCAGCCAACACCAGCATATACAAGGCCATACTTGTGGCCACTTACATTGATACTCTTGACTAAGGGCAAACGGAAATCCCACACAAGATCAGGATAAAGAAATGGAGCTATAAAGCCTCCGCTCGCAGCGTCAACATGAATGGGAGTATCCCAGCCCTTCTCTTTGTTCTTTTGAGTAAGGAGGTCATTGAGGAGCTTCACATCTTCAAACTCTCCCGTGAGGGTTGATCCTAGAATAGCTGCAACACAGATAGTGTTCTCATCCACCATCTCAACAGCTTTCACAGGGTCCATTACATAGTATCCCTCTGACAGCTTCACCTCCTTGAGTTCAACCTCAAAATACCTCGCAAACTTTTCCCAGCAAACCTACATATGCATGATCAAGAAATATTTATTATGCATGCATCAACATAGAATAAGTCTAGACATTGGTCATGACATACACTTATGAATTGGGCGTGTAATCAATCAACA